ACCGATGGCATTTCGTTGACTTTATCATGCCATAAGTACGGCACTCTTCCGTTGCAGAAATTCGTGCTGAATGCGTCGCTTTCGTCAGAAACTTTTAGGTAATACATCTTGATTAAACTTGGTATTGTACCTGCAGATCAAAACGTAAAAATTGGGTTCTTGATTTAAAAAGGTTGCCGCCGGTATATTCTGAGAGGATTCCGTGTACTCTCGAAGCAAGGTCGAAAAATCCCGAGGAATCGAATCTCACCGTTGCTGGGTCAACTTCTCAAATCCTGTTCAAACTTGTAGACGAATTCATGTGTCCTCATCCTATGGGCTTGAAATTCTATCCTTTAATCGTTCCTCTTGGAGAAGACGGTTTAGAAAATGGTCAATTCCGACTGACATGGACTGTTCCGGCAGTAGGCACAGATTTCAAACCGTTTCCAGGTGAAATAATGCACAATTGTTCCCAATTTTACCTTTTTTAATTTTTACATTTTTGATTCGAAAGAGAAAGCGAGTATTTTTTCACCATAAGATAAATATGGCTCAAAATGGTTTGTCAACTTCAATTGGGATGGAGAGATTTAATTGCCTAATTGTTTGCGAGTGATCGAAAATAATCCGACTTCAAGCTTATTTTCTGTTTTTACGGATTATCGTGATTGACGGCGAGTAATTGGGCAATTTAATGCTCAGTAATTTTTTTCCAAGGGTTAATTGCATATTTTATATTGCAAACGCATTCTAAAAGATCCAAATATGGTACAGTATTTTAATTGAACCGTGCATGGTTGTCAGATGTGAGACATTGTTTGTGCCACCCACGAAATATTTCAAAAATTTGAATTGCGGAATTTTGCAGCTGAAAGAATACAATTTGAACAATGAAACACAAATGTGAATTTACAAGAAAAAAATCTACTGTATATCATTGATCATATTGGAGAGTATGTGCAGAGGGAAAGAAATTTCAACATTTCATATATCATAAATAATATCTATGTTCCTATTCCAACAAAAACAAATGTGGCAGACACAAAACAGATGAAACATAACCCTGTCTTATTTAGATACTTTTTCTTGCAACATTGAACTCACTTAAAAGGATAAGCATTTCATATGGATAGAAACCAGCTTAACCCTTGGACGGCTAAGTGGACTATTTTCGCGAAATTTCGTACCACCTCAGAGAGGTAAAGAAAAAAATGAGGACAGGGAGCCAAGGGCAAAGTCAGGAATAATCCTGGCGATTTTTCCCTCCTAGCAGAAAAATTTTGTCGGCAAAAAAAAAACAACTCTCAGTTAGGCTACCGGCTTTCTTTGGATTAATCCCGACTTTGCCTCAGCCCACCTGGAAGGGTTTTTGTGACCTTCCCAAGACTGAAAATGCGGGGAATACGAAAATAATCTGACTCCGTCCCGCTATGGGAAAGAACCCTCCGCCGTCTGAGGGTTAAAATGTCATTGAGTGGATTTGGGTTGGGTGGGAAGGGGGGTTTGGTTGTGGAAATCTTGATTGAACCTTGTGAATGCTGAAAAGCTTCAAATAAAGCATTCTGTTCATTCATTCATTCATGAATTACTAAATAAATAAATGCATGTTCATCGTATGCAGTAACTAAAACAACAAAATTTGCAAAAATCTTGACTGAAATAATGTTCCTTTATTATGAAACAAAATATTTTATCCCGGCAGATAAAATCTACAGCAGCAGCTTCAAGTAATTTCAGTGCACTCACTCATCATATTCAGTAATTTATCATTCAAATCACGGTCAAAGAATGTCTAAAGCCGGAACGGGTCGCTGAGAATGTTTTCTCTTTTAGCAAAAAATGTGTATTCCAAACATTATTCATTATTCTGGGCATCAACGAACAATGTATTGTGAAATTCACTGAAATTTTAAAGTTGAGAAAGGCATTTCCATCCACCGAAAACGGGGGGAAACATCCAACTCATCATCACAATTTTCAACTTCCGATTTGATCAGGATCTGACTTGGCAGAAAACGGATATGACGAAGAACGAAAAGAAGCCTTCAGTCCATGGACCCGAGCATGATATTCATGGAAGCAAGGGAAACTGCAACTGCGTAACACACAAAAAAAGTGGAAGTGTCAAATAACCCGGAAACTCGACACGCCTTCGGTCCCCGTGAGCAGCTATAGTCAGTCGATCACAGCGATCCTAATCGGTTGGCACGTGGCCAACACGTGACTTGTTGTCCCAAGACTTGCACGAAAATCTGATCTGTAACACAGGTTTTTAGTGCAAAACAGCAGGAGTGAATCTGCCTTTCGATGGTCCATCACAAAGTTGATGCATTATTTGGGAATGAGCAGACGTTCCGGTCGGGATTCGCCTCCGGGAATCGTAACTGATATGAAACTTTTGGCGATATTGACGAGCGATCAATCAATAAAAACCTATGGTGTAATGCGAAATTTTGTTTCGTTTCGTTTATGAACTTGATTATTTCCTGTTAATGAGATCCCGACATAAGGACGATTCGAATTAGAAACACTTGAAACTCGAAAAATCGGCGCCGACATCTCATTGGTAATGACTCAAGATATAGGGACACTTTATTGTCAACATTTTCCAGAAAGATCAAATTTTAAAATATATTTTGATATATTTTGAACAAATTGAGCTACATTATTTATATTACAACAATCGAAAATTAATTTCATTATAAATTTACTCTAATCCATTCTCAAAAGCAGACTGATTTTGCGCTTCTTTTTTGGGGAGTTTATTCCTGTCATTTGTGCAGGACTGAAACAAGATTACAGTGAGACCCCAAAATGGGAACATCCCGAAAATACGGACAACTTGACTTTGGGACACTTGAAGTTTTAAATAATCTGACCCAATATCTGAACAATAACTGGACTTAGGGACATTTTTTCAAAATTTCTGGAAATATTTTTAAATTTAATTTTTCCAAAATTTTATATTTGGTGAAGAAATTGAGTTGTGTTCAGTTATGATTGCTAAAAATCAGGGTTAACTTAAAATTACCCAAATTCATCATCATAAACAGGCTATTTTTGTGCATATTTTTTCAATTTATTTGGTCATGATGCATGCTCAGTATAGAAAAACCTTATTAAAAAATCTTTGAGAAAATTGAAGCTTTTCGTCGTTTAGATAAGTGGAATAATGGAGATGAAACCCACAAAAACTCAAAATTGAATGAAAGTAGACATTTCGACGTGACATCAAATTAGCCATTTCCGGGTTATTGGAGCCGAATCAGAAATTGAACCAAAAGTTTCCAAAGCAATTCTTAGCCCTCGTCTTCTTCAGAAAAAAAATTTCGACTCGAATATTAAATGAACAAAAGAATAATTTTAGATTTTAAGTCACCAAGATGCCTGGCGTTCGTCAGCCATTGGAAAATTAACTCACTCAGTCATTGCACAATACGCTCGGCTTCCGCAAAGTTTCGTTGATCCTGGGAACATCACCCTATGTTTGGCACGTGCCAAAAACAAACCTGCCTCATGGGTTGTGGGTATATATAGTGGGAAAAAAGGGAGGAATCTCACCCGCCGGGGGAACTTCAAAAAGTATTTATTTTCAATTTTTTTTCTGACGAATTCGACTCGAAATTATATCCAACTTTTCACGAATATATCTACTCCACCTTGGAGTTTCGAGGAAAATTTGATCAATTGTCGAAGAGTCTTGAAGAAAACATGTTTACCAATGAGTTCATTGGAGTTTTTCACCCCACATGAGAATGAAATGACAAGTCTGTCACAAAAGAAAACTTCACGATTACTTCCTAGCACCCAAGATTCCAAGAGATATCACATTTATCCTGATCGTCTTTTTAAAATGAATGCAGCTTGCCTTTATGTAATTTTTTTATTAAATTAAATTAGATTCCATGGTTTGCTGAGATTTCCTGTCAAAATTACCACCCAACTTTCACACATTATGTATTTAAATAATGACTGATTTTATGGCCGGAATGAACGAGAAAATATTTGAAAGCTTGAGGCGGGTGCTGCTTCTGCATGAGATAAAAATCATTTGCGGTTAGAGTTACTTCTATTATTTGGCATTGACTCGATGAAGACGTATCTTCAAGAAGAAGTAAAAAGTGGAGGCCAAGTCACACAAAGTGGATTAAAATATACTGTATACCCTAAACCACAGAAACTTTGCGGCCATTTCACAGCTTGAGTAAACATTCATTGGTGTATACGTGGCTGGGTAAAATTGTGCCTGGTCATCGCCCGACGTCGTCAACACGTGGGATTCATCCGAGCCCCCTTATTTCACATTCATTTGCTGTGACAACCTCCGAAATAATGATTCAGGTTCCCAGGATTACCTTTATTACGATGGGTAAAACGATAGAATTACCTTGCATCATCGGTTTCTTCTAGAAAAAGATTTGAATGTTATTTCAGACAATAACAACAAAAATTTGCTTACCTTTGCAGGAAATTACGCGAATTAGATTTAATTTTTTAGTGTGCCGTAAACCTCACATTATTCGTCAACATTAAAAAAACAGAGTGACCGAAAATCAGAGAAATCAGAGCAAATTATTTTCCTTCTCGAACGACCCTGAAACATGAATCAAAATTGAAATAAAAATATTTGCAGGTATTCCTTTGATTATTTTTTATTGAAACATTATTGGTAGCAGGTAAATTGACGGACGAATATAAATACGAATTTTTGCAATATTTATGCGGTCCTCTTATTGAATTTCCCGATAAAAAATGAAATCTCAATTTTAAAATGCAATTTTCGGAATTATTCAGTCCTTTAAAGCGCCATATTTTCAATTTTATTTTTTATGACCTGACCTTTTTTCCTCAACTCACAGTTCATCGTTAAAAGCAATTTGGCAGAAAAATAAAGTTCCTTCTTTAGGATATTTTTTGCAATATGTGCATTTGTTGTTGCAGAGAAACAAGAAGATGAGAAAACCAATGAAGGTTTCTGCATCACCTGACAATGCGCATGTTGATTTCTTCAATTTTCATTATATTGGCAAATCGGAAGAGGTCAGGAATTATGAAAGAATATTCTGGAATTTTCTGCTCAGATCACCTGACCATACAATCCGGTAATCCCAAGAAAATAATGAAAAGCTCTTTTCACTTTGAATTTATAAGCATAGTCAGCCCGGAACTCGAAGGACAATCTTCTCATTGCTTATTGTACTAGCTGATTTGTGCAGAAATCTGTAATTTTCATTTATGTGATTTGATCATGTGATTTGAAACTATTGTGTGAATTAATTGTGTTTATTCTTTTGAATACTTGATTTTTTTACTGCTGAAAATTAAACAATATTGAAAAAAATTAGGAACATAAATTCAAGGTGACCTCTTGAAAATGAGTTTTAAGCTACAAAAGGCTGATTGCTTGTGTTCTTATTTCTTTTGTGATCCTTGATCACATTTGAAGCTTTAGTGCTCTCTTTTTCTGGTCCTTCACATAAAAATCAAATCCGCAATTACATTTCCATGCTTTAAATTTCATGAAATAAATCTGGCCCTGGTCTTGTGAAAATCCTCATGGATAAGCAATTAGCATAAAAGACAACCCTCTGCGATACACACACAAAAAAATTACTTGGCATGATAAGAGGCGAATCAATGCAAACACACACAAAAGGCAACGAACGCGTGCCTTTTTCACGCCTGGACTTTCAATAGGGCATCGATGCGCTCGGGATGAATTCAGGCCGACGTTCAATAACACGGACAAAAGAAAACATCCGACGAACAAAACAAAAACAAAAAAAGTTGCAAAAATCACCCCCTCTCCCTTTGACACTCTTATGCGGGGTTCGTTTGTACAACGTATATGTATAAAACTGATGTACAACGTCACATTCATGGAGGATGATTCGTCGATTAAAAATTTCACCGGTCATCACCCCGCGAACACAACGGCTCTTCTTATTTCCCTTCCCCTCTTCCCCCTCAATTCATGACCGTGAAATCAATGCCAAATTGATTTTCTCACGCTTTGAATTTTGCCAGGAAGAAAAAAAAACAGCGCAGAAATGACGAAATAACCTTCTTTCCGAGCGATTTTTAATGCGATTTTTTAGCGCAAATATATGCGCAAGCCAGCTGCGAGAGATCAGATATAAAAAAATGCAGGCATGAATTTCGGAATTTCCTCGCGTTTTTTTCAATGCCAAATCCATAAAAACGTAAGAAAATCTGGCTGGCTTGGAGAGAACTGTTACTTGATTTTGTAATCTATAATCTTATCGAGCTTGAGAGGAATATGCAAATCGAAAAAAAATGGTGGTTGCCATGAAAAATCCGCGTTTTATCACCGGTTTCAATATCATCGAATATCAATGTGTTTTTACGCCATATGAATTGCAGATTTTGCACATTCTGCTGTTCGAAAAGCATCAATTCAGATCACGATACTAATATACATACCAATGACTTCAATTAAAATTAAATCCGTATCAGTTCATATTTAATAACCTTTCCACGCTGTATTGGGGACTCGACAACAAATACTAATAAATTAATAAATAAATCTCCTGGACGTGGCAGGAACAGAAATTAATCAAGTGGAAAACCACCCAAGAGGAAAAAACCGCCAGAGATATCCTCAAACAAACTTTTTACCCCCTCCGAAAAATTGAAATCTGGTGCCAAGACATCTTTGACTTGACTTTGTCGAGCCAATCAGATGCCTTGGCGCCAACCCCCGTCCTTGATTCACATCCTGGATCAAGGAAAAATCTAGAACAAATCAAATTATTAATAAAAGCCCAATTTCAACAATATATCACCACCAGTCTTCAGGAGTCGTTGCTTGGAGCATCTTCCTGAGTGTCAAAGAGTTTTGCTGAGAGGAAAATTTTAATTTCAAACCTTTACAAATCTTTGTGTGTGTATTTTGGGACTTGTACAAAATCTCAGAAATATATTTAGTTATTTTATTTTTGGAATCTGACGACAGTAGATTCCCTGCCTTGTCCTGGGTGGATTCCGCATTTTTATTCCTTTATTAAACCTCACCTAAATCTACATTTTATTTCTTCTAAATTT